CAGAGAAAATTGTTGAGTTTTATTTCATGATGTAAAAAACAAAATTTAAGATGGTTTTCTGTGGATACGTTCTAAGCTAGCTATACAGGATGACCCCAGGAAGAGGACATACAAACTGACTTCTGCAGTTAAATATAAATGGGTTAAAACCAGAACAGAAGATATATGAAAGTAAAATAAAAATAAAATAAAATAATAATAAAAAAAAAAAAAACACAAAAAAAGAGAAACATTTATGAACAAAAATGTCATAATCTGATGTGAGGTGTCCTAGCAATATATTTCTGTAGTATAGCTGCCGAGACAAGACACAATGGTAAGAACTTGCAATTGTTCATAGTGGTCATAGAGATGGAAAATGTTACTCACAGAAGGAGATTAAGAAAACCTTGTCATTTACGGACACAAAATCATAGATTTTTATGTGGTTTGCCAGCCTTCCAAAGTGAGACCTGAAGAGGGGATAGAACATAATGACAGTTTAGCAGAAAAACAAATGGTTAAAAATAGATCATGAATAAATTTAGGCTATTCCTAGTATTGCAAGGTTGATTTCCTTTAACAGTTTTATAGTAGCATAAAATATGACCTAAAATGGAATTTCGCGATTTTATGAATGACACACGCCAAGTGTTTTCACTACAATTTTTCACGTATTTGAGGGCTGAAGCATGGTCAATATGTCTCCCATTGAGACATTTTTTAGTAGTCTGACTAAAGTTTCTAAACCTGTTTGGACCAAAAATTATTTTCAGTTCATGTAAGACCATTTTCTAAGCTAGGCTTGCTTGCTGTCACTCCTTTTTGCTACTGAGCAAAATAATTTATAACAAAAGAAAGTGAAAGTAATCAACCCTACACTGTAAGAATTTATTTCAACTGTGCAACTGATGTAGTCACTGAACTCCACTATTAAATTAGAATATTCATTCATAGTTATCCAAAACTTGGTTATTAAATTGTCACATCATTTCTGATCACCAGAGTGCTATCAAAGTATTTTTTAATGTATTTCCATGTACCTGTCTGTATTTCATAGTCTTTTTTATATTTTGTTCTCTTTATTTTTTGTTTTGTTCCTTAAATTATTATTATTATTTTGAAATTTTTTTCTCCCTATTTCAGAAACATCATAGTGGAGGCAGAAAATTAAGTATATCTTAGTTTGGCTTCTCTACTTGCATGAAAAGAAATTATTAGATAGTGTGTTAACAACACAATATTCCACTTTTCACATAAGAACTCCAAAATAGTGCTTCAGTTATTTGCTCAAGAATTCGTTCTACTTTTGCTTTAAAATCAGATAAAGTGAAAGAAATGTTCCTATTAGAATCTGGAAATGTGTATGTTTATCATTTACTGTTTGTGTGTTTATTTTCACTCTGTTTTCCTTTGCACTCTGAAACAATCTGATACTAATACTGATATTATATGCTTGGGCTGTTTGCCATCTTATCAGGGCCAGTGCACATTTTCTATTTCAGATTTGTCAACTTGGCTTTATGTTCTAAAATACTGGATCCTTGACGCCTTTTTTTGCCATCTGCTAGACATCATAGAGTCACACTGAGTGCCTGATGGCATGCCATGGATGTTTTATCACCATTTGCATTCCTGAATGGTTTTCCAAACACCCACTGTAAAATATATTTTTTGTTTGGTCCATTTCCCATGTTTAGAAAAACTGATTTTTATTTTTCTTATTTAATAGACAAAGTAGATAGTTACCATCAGAAGCTCCAGTAACATGCTATCACAACCATGATTCTCTTTTGCTAATGTTTAAATATAGCAAGATAAGGTGATAAGTGGGCAGTGTTTACCTTCACTGTCTCTTCATCAGAAGTGAGGAGGAAAATTAATATGGATGGCAGTTTTTTGCCTGTGGCAACAAGAAAGAGATTGGGCAATTGTGGTCCTAGAATGTCCTATTTCAGCCTATGGTACTGGATTTCCAAATTCTCAGCTTACAACTAGGCCAAAAATTCTAGAATGCTGGCAAAAGAAATAGTGCAGAGAAGTAAGCATATTTAAAACAAAAATATAGTTAGTTACAAAAACCAAACAAACTTCAGGCACAATAGGCCGGTCTTCATCCTAGAATACAGAATGAAGTTCCATTTCTGATTTGTAAGAAAACTGTAATTACATGTATACTTCTTTTCATTCAGTGCCCTAAGGAGAGGATGGCATGCAGCACTGTAACCTCATTATGAAAAGTTATTGATCTTTGTGAAAACATTCCACAGTGCTACTAAAATTCATGAAAAATGCATGTATCTCATTGAGACAAATTTCTGCTTAAGTACAGGGTAGATAGAAGTTACATTCTAGATATTCTCTTGATTCACTGTCTGCCTTGCCCTCAAATCAGTTTTGAATGTACATTTACAAGCAGAAAATGATGACATGTCAACATATTTATTCTCAAATATGTAACATTAATAGCAAAGGCAAAAATGGGTATAACTCCCATCATTTACACTCCAATGTATAGCAGAAATTGCCATGAGTAGAATAAATATCAAGATATTACAGAAGAAACAGCATTATTGTAACAAATTACTCAACACCTTTCTCCTGAAGAGATATATAGATGTTTGAGTGCATACTGAAAGGCCAAACTTCTTCCACCGTTACAAGTCATAATGTTGAGTGCTGCACTAGTAGTTGCTTTGATGTTCCAGAAGGAGTAGCAGCAGCAGGTTAAACCAGCTAGTGCAGGTGGGGCAGCATCTCTCAGAAAGAGGCATTGCTCCTCCAACCTGTGCCAGGCTCCTTCCCTCGTTCTCATTGCTGTGTCAGCGGGGTGAGAAGCACAGACATGAGCAATAAATGGGTAAATGACAGTTTGTACAGCTAGGAGAAAAGGGATTGATAATTTTATCAACTGAAATTACAGAAAAGTAGCTGCCACTTGCATATCTCTAAAACTGCCTTTCAAGAGCTTTAACATCTGCTAAAGAGAAATCTTACTGTTAAATATAGGAATGCTGAATACTGGCTTAGATTAAGGTTAGGGCTCAAAGAAACTATGGCTGACACCAATAAAAATTCTGAAAGAACATCGCTTGACTACTTATGGCTGGAAAGGAAGAGATTGTGTTAAACACTTTGGAAGTACTGCTCATATGAAGAATTGCAATCAGTTTTAGTAAAACAGTTGATATTATTTGACCTACTGGCGACATTGACATAGTTCAGTGTTGTCTTTCTCCTAAAATATTTCTGCAAAATAATTTTGTTAATGCATATAGTTAGGCTAAGAAAAATAAAAGGAATAAATATTTTTAATCTTAAAAAAAAAAATGAAACCCCAACAAACAAAAAAACCCTTATTTGTCTTATCATGTATGCCCTTCTGAGATAATCTATATTCAGAGAACTATGATGTAATAACTTGCTTAGTACTGAATATTAATCCCTGTTATTGATATACAATAATTCTAAGGTATAAGACTCTTCATTACTAAAAATTACGCATTCATTTTGTATTTCAAAAGCTCTGGAATGGAAAAATCATTAAATTGTAATGGTGAATTGTGAAGTTATTTGTGAAGTGTTGTGATGACCAAGTTTTTGTATTTTGCAATAATTCAAGCTGTAATTTAATTTTTGTATTGCTCAGTTACCAATTATTTTTATGACACTTCTATTGAAACTATATAAAGGCTTGTTCTTGTATTGGCACTTGTCATTATCACTTGCATTATAGATATAAATGCATATCCAGTAATTATATGCAAGAAAGCATGTCATGCTTCCCTGCAAGAACATCTTAAGTAAGTAATTCTTCAGTGGCGAGATCCAATATACGCCATTTAACTCTCCAACCTTGGCTTCTGGCTCAGGTGATATTGTATGGCTCTGTCTTTTCTACATTCATCTCTTCTGACCTTAAGATTTTCACAGAGTCTTCAGAAAACATGGAAAAAACAGCCAAGGAAACTTGATTTTCAATTTCTTATGCCTATTAAACACATATTATTTATTAATTGGTTAAATTTCTTTTTATATTGTGTAAAAATGACCTGTAGTTCTATCTGAAATTGCTAAATCATTTGAGCAACCACTTTTAAGTCATTTTAAAGTGAAAAATTTTTAAAAATGTTTTCTTGCATTTTCCCTCATCTGTAACTTTTCTACTCTTCATTATTATTGTTGTTATTATTATTATTATATCTTTGGTTTTTTCTAGCTTTATGTGGTGGAGATGTTAGAGGACCTAGTGGAACAATTTTATCACCAGGTTATCCTGATCTATATCCAAATTCACTGAACTGCACATGGACTGTGGATGTTACCCATGGCAAAGGTAAAATAATCCTTTTCTCTACTTCTACCTTGGGTTTTGTTAAATATATAAGTCAAATATTATTTGGTATAGGTGTAGACTTAGGTTAGCAGCAAAGCACTTAGAATTGCATTGCTGATTTTTAGTTTCATTTATTTTTATTGCAGTAGCTCCTAGGACTCCGTAAGTGGAGTAAGCCCTTATGTTTCTCACAACATGGAAAATCAGTGAGAAAGAATTATATAAAGAAGCTGAAGGCTGTGAGGTTTTTAAGAAAGAGGTGGTGGTTAGTTGAAGGCAGATTTCAGGAAAAAGATGTAATACT